TTGGTAATTGATTGCTTTCAAGTTAAAGTGCTCGTGTGTAGCTCCACGAAAATGGAAAATATGTCGAAATACGAACTATGACGGTTCGTTAACATAAAAATAAATTTGTAAAAAGAAGAATCCTGCACAAGAGAATCGAATTGAAAAGCCCGACAAAAAAATTAAACGCTCAGGCAATTTGAGGACAAACAAGTGTTCTCGAAAGTCAAACAGCCGAGCCGGGACGACGACGAACCTGAATCAGCTAAAAGTTTCCATTGAACGCTAACGGCTGTCATACTTTTCCGTGCCTACCGTGCCTGAAGGGTTGGCATTGTCGATTTTTTAATCCCTTTTAGTAAGGGGGTCACGTAGCTTTGGTTCTCGTTCGAAATTTGTAATAACTGTTAGCTTTGCTAATGGATAAATATCTTTTTAAATGTCGATTATTTTTTCACAGTTGTACTTATAAAACTGCAATTATTTGTAGTAATTAGATGGTGTTTTATATTTTAAGCTATCTGTAAATTTTAAGTAGCAAAGAAAAGGAAAACGAAAGATATTAGTCTTATTAGAGATATAATTAGCTAACTTAATTAGTAATTAATTCGTTTTCAACGTTCATAACAAAAAACAACTTTATTTATATATCCTAAAATACACAATATTTTGTTTGACTTCTTTAATCAATGAAATTGTTAACTATATTAAATATTTAATTTGATTCTTTCTTATTGAAAATTGTCTATGTAATAAAGGTTCCAATCCGTAATTTTAATGTTACTATCATAAAAGTAATAGATTTTATGAAGATTCGGCACAATAAATTCTTTTTAGTTTATATCGCTCATCTATTTATTATTTTGAATTCGCCAACCATGGGTCGATTTGGTTGCATATATACAACTTTATTTTATTCTTTATATTTTAATTTTTAAGGAAACCACTATCTCTGTTTACATCTCTTACTCAATAAAATCAAAGCAGAACAAAAGGCACAACACTAGACTTTATAATATACGTTTCAACTGAACTAGAAAGCGGAAAAGGCAAACAAGGCGCTGATGGAAAAAGCAAGAGATTTAATATGGGACTCAAAATTGGAAAACATCTTCTTGAGAGAAGCAATAAACACAAGTAGGACTCATGCATAGGACACCAATGACAAAACAGGCAATATACCAGATAAATTATGGAACATATACCTTTTCTGAAAAGCCGACAAATATTTGGAGCGAATACACACATTAAAATTGTAGAACGCTCATCGATAGAATATTAAACTTTAAATTTGCAGGAAATTAACTTTTCTGCGTATATTGTTCTCTACGTATCTAAAACGTCCATCAACTTTCGAAAGAAATGTAAATGTGAAGCAACGGCTCAGTTTTATGCATAATATACTCAAATAGACTGAATTAAATTAAATGTAAATGAATTACACATAATGATAAATTAAAATGGTTTTGAATTCAAAGAATTCAAGTATATTAAATGATTTTAGAACTCAAACATAAATTCGAGAAATTATTCGAACAATTCTTTCAAAATCGAGTCGTAAGGGATGAATTGTATCTAACTAGGTTTCTGGGTGAAATCATACTTTGCTAATTTGAAGTTGCTGAGCGAACACAAATTCAATTAGGACCCCAAGTCTATGATTGAATGATTTCAAAACTTGTATCAATAACCGTACATTTCGTGAATTCTGAAATCGCAAATTTGAGATTTTAAGATATCTCAAAATTCGACATCAATATTCAAAAACTGAGCTTTGAGTTCTTCTCCTAATTCAAGTTTATTTAAATACCCAAACTTGCGATTGATTAATAAAAGAACTTAAAGCAATAGATATTGTTGGTTTATAGATATTAGCTTTTCGACTTTTACATTAATTTTCTTAAATAATTATCCTAAAAGTGGACTATCTTGGTTATTTGACACACTCGACTTTTTGTTCTACTTTCTCCAACCAATACTTGATTTAACATATCGAACTTTAATCGTAAATGTATAAAAAAAAACGATTTAAATATCTTATGCCTAGAGCAATGTTTAGAGCATGCCTAGAGCATGTGGGTGATCCTTCAAATTCTTTGTGAATCACTGATGTTGAATCCCTCAGAACTTTAATACACAGTTAACATATTCAGTAGGAATCGACTTGTTTACGAATCTAAGCTTAGATAGTAACAAGAACAAATTCAAAAATCTCGTTTGCATCATTCAAGGTTGTTGTTGTCGTAAGCAATCAAGTGAAGAAACATATTAAATATATAGGATTCGAACAAGAAGACATGAAGAGAACGTCGAAGGAGCACTGTTATCCCATGTATATTCTCTCGACAACGTTTGCAGTGATTGACAAATTAGTGGATTTGTGCAACAACTGTTTTACTTTAAACATGATTCATTATTCATTATTTGAGAGTACCAACTTAACCGTGGTATTTAACAATCGTTTCAAACAAAATGTTAACAATGACAATTGACCGGTTTTGTGTCGACTTTGCAACGTATTGACTGCAAGATAAATCATTTTAGACTTATTATCAACAGTCAGTTTAATCTTATTTGTTAGGCGAGAAATATATGTGAAGAAAAAATCAAAATATGAAGATCTGCAAAGGAACTGTACCCATTTATACTAATTTAACTAATTCCAAGTTGTCGACGAGCAATTTTATGGATATTCAAATTGCAATCTTAGTATAGGAAACGCTTAGATATTTATATGATATGAAGTCCAAATTTATATAGAATGTCACACAATCGCTTCTTTTTTATAAAAATGTATTAACTTAAAAACTTGTGCTTCAATAAACAGGATTACCCTTCCTGCTTATTGAAGCACATAACTGCCTTTAACAATAACTACTTAGGGCTTGTAATGCCTATCAGGGGTTAGCAATTCTTTTTACAAAGCCTCTCAAATATCCACAAGGATAGCCTTAATTTGTAGAGAACTCTTTATGAATCCTAATAATTTGACTTCCTTCGAAAAAAGTACGTGTTCTTGATAGTCGTTATGATCGCATTAGATCAATCTCGGTTAAAGGCACAATTATAGTCATTTTTAGAAGAGGTTTCAAACACACATTATGTGCCAATTTCTTATAGGGTTCTTAGCTATAGCTTTGCATTTTCGCATACAACGTGAGAAGCTTAAGGATGTACTATATTTTCATACAAAAATACTGATCTCCGCCACAAAAATATTTTAAACATATACCTAATCGAAATGTATAATAAATCTACAAGCGGTGTACATACTAAGAGAAGGGTGCTATACATATGTTCCATTAGAATTCACGGCTTCACGAATAGCTTTAAGATGTACAGGTATATTTCGTCAAAAATAACATTTTATAACATATGAATAAATATTTCAAATATCTCTATTGTTAGAGGTTTTAAAATATATTTTATATTCAATTGTAACTTATCTCTCCACAACTGGTTCTTTTTCTTGTATTGAGCTCGCTTAGACTACTGCATCACAAGTAAAGGTAACAAGAATATTTAATATATTCACCCTGCAATCCAATAAAAGCATTAACCATTATAAAATTGTCTATTATTGGCTTCTATATACACTCTTTTTGAAGAACTAACGACGAAAAGATACCAGTTATAAATGTTTATAAAAATGTTTCATGGCGGTACGCATTAATTAAAATGCTTTGGATAGAACATATATTTAGGTTGGGTGACATCTTCTCATTTTGTTAGTGATGTGTTATCACTTCCATGCAAAGATAAAGAACAGACATCTCAACATAAAACGGAATTCCATACACAACAAAAGTTTTACAAGGAAACAGCTCTTATGATCGATAATATTTGATGTATGTATATGTAAATCAATACTTTTCTTTCAATATTATTTTCCGGCAATTCATACCATATATTTAATCGTATAGTTCTGTGTGTTTGAATTTATTATTAATATTAATAAGATAAATATTGTATTTGTATTTTATAAATTAGTTTTAATATTAATTTTGTATCTTAACTCAAATTTTAGTAAACTATTAACATAAATTATCATCAAAAAAAAATTTTAATAATTCTAATTTTGGAGACCTACATGACGTGTCTCATATTTTTTCATAAGAAAAAGGGTTCCTATCTCGTTATTATTTCATTTTCCTGCATGGTTTTTGACTGGTAACATAAATCGTGTGAAATTCCTCCCTGTTACTGCTGTTTCAGACCCTCCAAAGTAACCCCTGGCAATTTATTTATATGGTAACGTGCACATTATTCCCTCTCGCTGGGGTTGCGTCGCCTGTGTCTCTTCGATATAATATCAAAAATTTAAATTAAGCCACATACGCTCTATAAAGTACACCAGTACGTCCGTTCTAGTTATACTTTTGCGTTATGTTGTTTAAGTAGTTAGGTTAAGTGCTCCGGTTAAATTTAGGTACACCGAGTGGATGTAAAATAAAGAGGTAGTTACAAAACGCCGTCATACTACTATCGACAGGCACGTTAAATAACAGCTTTTGGTTGGAAACATAAAAGCTGTGGGAGCAACGTACTCGAACAAAGGCTTTTTGTAATTTCCTCTCCCTACAGGTCCGTTCGTATCAGAAATTTTGCTTCGGTTCAGTTTTACCGTAGCACTTTCGACAACAAACTAATCAAAGGGTTTGATTACATTGTATTAACACAGAAAATTTGATTTTCGTGTTTTAATTGCCAGAGAAATTTTGTAATATAACTCAAAGTACAACTCCATTAGTGAACACCAATCAACCTTTGAACATACAATCAACTCGTGTTGTTAATATATGCATAAAGATACAATATAATACGTTAATACATTTTTTTAACCTCTTAACCCCACAATGACTTGTAGATTCCTCGAATGATATTTACGAGGATACGTCGTCAAAACAATAAAAAACTACATAAATATTAATTGAACAAGAAATAGCTCGACCTTGTGTACGTCAATAATTTCTTATCGCTTCTTAAAGATAAGCAAATCTATTTATTTCAATGATTTGCTCGTAATTGCTTAGTTCACATACGTACAGTGAAACTATTCTACGACAAAATGGCACTTCAAAGTGACGAACTTTTCAAATTCATCAGCGAAAAAGTCACGGAAAGTCCACAAAAAGCTAAAGCTGTAAACGGTGTCTTTTTATACAAGATTACCAAAAACGGTAAAGTAGCGAAAGAATGGATTATGGATTTGAAAAACGCTAAAGTCTACGAAGGACCTGCTCAACCTGGAGTACAGGTACAAACCACTGTCCAAGTTTCCGATGAAGACTTCGTCGAAATGGCCAGTGGAAAACTGAACCCACAAGCCGCTTTCCTCAAGGGAAAATTGAAGGTTTCAGGCAACATTATGTTGGCTCAAAAGTTGGGTCCACTCCTCCAAGCCGAAGCTAAATTGTAAAGTACGTTGCACGTCGCAAAAAAATTTAATTTAGATAATTCTATTTATACGTTTTGTGATACTCAAAAGCAAAATAAAATTTTTGTTTCATTAATTTTTGTTTGGTTTTATTTTAAACAACGGTAAATATGTGTTCATTGGTTTTTATTTAATTAAAGCTTATTATTGGTCCATATTAAATCAATACCTATTGGTAAATTAATATTTTGTTGGTTAAAGTTACTGTTACAAACAAAATTGAATGTATTAATTATTGCTTTCTGCTTTTCACTGTTTTAATAGGTACTCATTTAATGTATGTATTCAAACAATTTCCATATTCAGTCAAATTGAATGTTATATTACTATATTATTAGTAATAAATAATTATCGAAATTTCATTTAATTTCGTGTATAGTATCGATCTTATCTTTTCTATACAATCTTTTGATTTAAATACTTTTTTTAATAACAGTGTTATCTTATCAATATTACATAAAAATATGCGATTGAAATTTGGCTTGAGAAACACCACTTATTTACTGCTGTGTCATTAATCTTATCTGAAAGTCCATTGAACTATTTGAGTAATTTACGTCGTAAATAGAAATAATAGTTGTAACTATTAGTTGTGTTACAATTGATACTTTTACAAAAATGACGTAGGTCTCGGTGGTAGCTACAGCAATATACGGATTTTATTTATCAGGGTGGAGAAAGAGGTAAAATCACTTCGTTCATCCACGTTTTACCCAAAAGCTGATACTGTAAAACTCTATTCCGCACCACCGTAATTCATCAAGTTTGATGGAGGCCGGCGTGAAATAAAAAAAATACAGAACGTAAAAAAGAAATACAACTCATCGAAGCGTACGAGTATGCTGGAAATCAGCTCGGGCAGAGCTTTCAAATCGCCGTTATGCGAATTCTCTTTCTCCCTTTGATTTACTAACGGGCAGCTCAACCCCATTCCCTATGCGACTATATGTGAACGGCATAAATAAAAGCAAACGACCTACATTTGATTCTCTAGTTACCAGTAGGTACGTCTCGCATTGCATATAATCTTCTTCATGTTTCATTACGGATCATTCTTTTTATATCATGTTGAAGCCTGAAAACAAAAATGTAAAGTGTTAAATTTGTAATCTAATATTCTGTTTTGTATTACCAGTTTCCTATTTTCCAAAGTAAAATTGTTTTTTTTACTAAAAATAAGACCTGAATCCCAAGACAATATTCCGTAAATAAGTGGATAAACCTCACCCTGAAAAAAAGAAAAGGTCAATTTATATTTACGCGTTTCCAATTTACTGTTCTACGTTCCCAATCGGATAATTCGAGACACGTTCGCCCTCCTTCGGTAACCCTCCTAACACGCACAATGAAAATGCATGAGGATTAAATACGTCGAACACGAGAAAAGGACTCGTCGCAAGGATCACCTTTTTCCTTTCTTTGGAATGCTCAGCACATAGGATTCGAAATCTTAATACTCTCTACCAGCCGGCTGCCACGAAAAAAAGAAGCGCATACTTGACCTCGAACCGTCCAAATCAAATTTCAAGGGAAACTGAGCAGATTAAATCAGTGTGGTACTGAAGAAAAGTAGAAAAAAGGGAAACAATAACGCGGATACTCTTGAGGACCCAGTAAGCTGAAAGTCGAAGTAAAGAAATCCCTCCCTTCTTTCGCGGCCGAATCGTTCGTATAAATTCTGGTCCATAAGCCTACCCGTGATAAGCAGAATGGTGCAAAACAGCTCGGCGTCACCGACTAAACGATGGGAAGGTAATAAATCGTTGAAGTCAGTGCGAAATTGGAACTGAGACCGAGAGACCGACTGTGATCGTGAATATCGATTCGATATAATACCACCACACCAATGCCATCGCACCATCGTTGTCGCCAAACAGTATGTATACAATATTGCGATTTGATCGCAATCTCATAAAATTGCTAATGCCTTTAACCCCCCGGATCTCCAGCCGAGAGCGCCAAACCCAATAAATGCGCCGAATAAATTTATTCGTTTTCGATTATCAACGTTGAATATAACCTCTAAATGTAAAACGCTAGTTGCTGTGTGGCGGAGTTAATCCGTTTATCTACACTGGATATATCGATAAAGTTTCAACGATAATATGATTATTAGAAAATTCACTACATTTAAAACCAAAATATAGTTGCTGTTTTAATAGAAGTTGTTTATGGGTGTAATGGAAAAGAATTACTATTATTATCAATGAGAGAACTTTCATGATTTTGAAGTATTACATATAAGTGAGGATATGTCTTAGTCCAATTTAACCTAATCCTTTCCAACCGGATTGGTCTATGACTCATCCTCCTGACTAATGATTATAAGCGTGGACATTTTATAAAATTGTAATTGATGTGGATAATTCGCTTATAATCATGTGTCTGGAGGATGAGTCATAAACCAATCCAGTTGGGCTAAGCAGCTAAAGCTCTCAGCAGAAAAACTAGCTAATAAACATGAACACCCATTATTATAGAAGATTACTGACATCTCCAGTTCCTGTGTCTGAACTCTACTCTACGTCTTATAATGCCTTTTAAGGTGTTAATTTAAATTTGCAAAAAAAACACAAGGTAAAGATGATCAGTCAATCAGAGTGTGTAGAACAGTTCAAAAAGTACATTGGTCTGGTTCTCTGATCACCAATGAATTCAAAACTATATTTAGATGCCGTCTTTTTCAGTCCAGTGTAACAAATTATCTTTGCACAAATAATAATCTAAGAAGTAAAGCTATTGACGTACTTATAGATGTACTCAAGTACAATATGATGGAATATCCGAAGTTTATGATGTAGTTCTCTTTACTGTGGCATCCACACGTTATCATAACGAACGCATTGGCAGTAATTCATTATCAATAACTTATACATAAATAGTTTTAAAACAATCTGTTGCTAACATAAATATAAAGTACACTTCTTTTTCCCGTTTTAGCTTATACAATTCACTGGCTATGTTTTAATGATATGGGAAGAACCGTTCAAGTATTTATTCGCTGTCTCAATAATATATGGATGATATTGTGATATCACCTAGAGAATTAATGAACATTTTGAGAGTTTAGAAACAGCTTTGAAAACAGCATTCAATATTCATTAGATTGGAATCATTGATTGCTGATTGATTACAAGATATAAATAGACAATTTGAATTTGAAAACAAAAGTAAGTGTATCAGAAACTTTAACAAAATAATAACTAATCAGCGTTACGATTTTGACCTTTTAATGGCACGGGACTCAAGGAAATAAACATTTGGTACAATATTATTATAATAACATTGAAAATTATGTTATTCGTTGAGCATTTTCAGGTATTAACTGGCAGCAACAATGAAAACATGGGTTTTGTTTAATAGTGGTACAACAGTATTTGTTTTTGGAATGAACATCCAATGATATGATGAGACTTTAAGTTGAAATTTAATGATAATGACAATATAATCTTGAGTATTGAAACGAAGGACGGAGGAAATGGACGACAATTTACAAACCACCATGATAATCTTAAAAAGTAGCGGATAAGGAAGCTATAAGAAGATTAAAAAGTTAATTACTATGTCAAAATAGATTAAAATTGTTAGTTAAGTTTTAGAACATTATAATTAAAATCTCTTCAGTAAATCGCGCAACCAAGATTTTATTTGCATGTGTAAAAGTTTTATGATTTAGTGTTGTGTAGACCAATTATGTTGAATTAATCATTTGATTATCTGTATATGATACTGAAAAGTATCTACTGATCCTGTCGAATCTGATAATCAATCGGAAGTGTTTCCTTATATTATGTATCCGATGATGTGAAGCGGAGAGTTACGAGTGCCTTGGAGGATTTTGCAGGCGCAGCCTGTCAGAGGGTGGATTAGTGCCCTCAGGAAACGAATCCCGGGCAGCTTACTGACCTGTCTCTATGGCAATTCCTTTGCCGGACTTCGTCGACTCGTTACTAAATAAATCGAGGGCATTATTCCTCCTGGAGGGTGGCACAAAAGGCGTCGTACATTTTTTTGCAGGGCGCCATAAATAACGGAGATAACTGGCCCCGTAAAGGGCTATTCAGACGATGGACGGGCTCATTAAGATAAGACTCGGCCTGTTATTGTTTACAATGCGCGAAATCATTTTCTCCAAAATCCTCTCGTTTTTCTTATTATTTTTAAGTAGTTAGAAAACATAAACATGAGTGAGATGCTTTTAAAAAATGAAATATTAACAGAAATCTTAATCCAACCGCCAGTAATGCAAGTTTGCGTTTACATTACCAGATCAGAGATCAACATTAGTTTATGCAGTAAGTTAAACATCCCAATTACTTCCTCGCAAATTATCCAAAGAAGGAAGATATATCAAGGATGTAACTAATTTACGGATAGAACCCGTTCAAGATTCCGCGTTATTCGTAATATGTTCTTATGCGAAGTAATCTATTTCGCGAAAATGAATTCCGTCGTTTCCACCCTCTTTCCTTCATCAGTACTAAGCACTCCATCAGGTACGCGTATAGATAGAGCCTAATTCAACTCTTCCCGAGCACACTGTATTATCTCCCTTGCGGGAGGTTTAAACTTAAACGATGTCTTTAGACTTTAGAGTTTCGGATGAGGCACTCGCATAAATCCCTAATTAGATTTCGGCACAACATGTTTTCGTCCCGGTGGTACACGGTCAATTGCTCTCCGGCGAACAATACTAATGGGGCACAAAGGGGCGGGAGGATTGCCGTTCACCCTGTAAGGTTCGCTTCGTCGACAAAACAGTACGGGGGGAACAATAGGGTCGCCACGTATGAGGTGGAGCCCCTCGTCACGTAAGGTCTTTTGGTGAACATCGACCGTTTTTACTCTACTCCAACTAACAATACTTTATAAAACAATCTACCTTAGAACTTAGGATGTCAAAATCGACTGATTAAACACTAAGTTAAAGCAATCAAGAAATTCTAAATGTATAATTTTGATGACGTCCAAGTATGTATAACATACAATATTAGATTAAAAACTGTACATAAATATCTATATGTTAAGTTTAATATTTTTTGTGCACATAAATGTGTTTTTATCTTGCATTTTGTAT